CTGATTTTTCATTCTACTGACAACTCATACCTTGTTCGTATATGTGGGATTGTCATGCAGGGGCATCTTTCTAAAGCTGTTCATAACCAACTATATAAACGACTAAAGGTGAAGACACAACCTTACAACTCATTTCGCCCTACGAAATTATCATTCGTTTGTTTTAAAAAATTAGCATGGCTACATGGTTCATGGGAGGGAATGGGAATCGCAGAGGTGGTAGGAACTTGCAAAGGGGTGACAGTTCACGACGAGGAAGGGGAAGGGGAAGTGGCGATGCTGAAGATGAAACACCATTTACTTTGTTAGATGCCTCTTGTGCTTATCATGATAGGTTTGGGAAGCGACATTTTGTCGTGCCCAAGTAATATCGAGATCCATGTGGTTTGGTGGAGGAACCATCAGATAATCAAACAGGATATGGTTTAGCAAACGCTAGACTTCTGAAGTGGCCCGCACTATTTATAGAGCGAGTGCAAATGGAAAGATTATGTCGGGAAAATCGATTGAAGATGCCAAGAGCACGTTCTGTTGAGATCCAAAAGGAAGATCCTGATAATGTTGATCGACTATGTGAAAGACTACAACGTGAGATTTCTCAAATGCGTCGTAGGTTAGCCCGCGATATGCAGCTATACATAGTTAAGAAGGATGCCCGGAAGAACAGAACAGAACCAAATGATGCGACTATCAAGGGTATCATGGAGGATCCTGAGCTTATCTCTGACGCTGAGCTTTCGGATTATTCAGACTCTGAGCCACCTACAGATTTAAGCGCGAATTAGGTGTTAATGTCTACACTTCGGCAATATTAGGTCATGCATGAATATGTAATGTCTGTGTTAGAGTAAGTGTTTCCGTAATGAGTTTGTCAGATTGTCTGGCTAATATTTGTCTGTCTAACTGTTATGTTTATGTATGTATTGTATGTTCAGTTCATGGTGTCCAGAATGTATTGTTGTCGGAGACTTATGTCTGTACTACCTATGTATTTTTGTGGGAGACTGTGTTTTTTCCTCAAGGTTTTATGAATTACATTATCACATTCTAATCCAAAACAAAGACAATAGAAAAAAAAATTTATTCAAATGAAAACGGCTTTAGTAAAGCCAAAACAAATTTCTGAATAACACATTCTAACTCAAAACAAAGATAAGAGAAAAAAATAAAAAATAAAAAATTTTACATGAAAACGGCTTTAGTGAAGCGAAAAGAAATTTATGAATTACATTATCACCTTCTAACCCAAAACAAAGACAAAAGAAAAAATATATATATTTAAATGAAAATGGCTTTATTAAAGCCCAAACAAATTACTGATTAACACCTTCTAACCCAAAACAAAGACAAAATAAAATTAAAAAAAATTTACATCAAAACGGCTTTACTAAAGCTCAAAAAATTTATGAATTACATTATTACCTTCTAACCCAAAACAAACACAAGAAACAACAAAATAAATTTACTTTAGTCAAGCCAAAAAAAAAATGCTGAATTACACATTCTAACTCAAAATAAAGACAAAAGAAAAGAAAAAAAAAATTAACATGAGAACGGTTTTAGTAAAACAATTTTAACCCAAAAAATTATTCTGAAATACATTATCACCAAAACAATGACAAAAAAAAAAACCAAAAAAAAAAAAAATTCTTCTTCAGAGTTCAGTTAAACTGAAACTAAAAAAAAAAATTGTCAAAAGCGTGGTTCAGAACCATGCTTTCAGAAGAAAATTTTTTTTTGGATAAAAGCGTGGTTTAGAACAGCGATTTCAGAAGAAAAATTTTGTTGGATAAAAGCGTGGTTCAGAAAAGCGATTTCAGAAGAAATTTTTTTTTTCATAAAAGCGTGATTCAAAACAGCGATTTCAAAAGAAAAAAAAATTAATTAAAAACGCCTTTTGTAATCGCGCTTTCTTAATCAAAAGCGTGTTTTATAACCACACTTTAAGACTTTCCAATTTTCACGCGAGACAGGCATGCACACGTTGAAAGCGTGGTTGTGAACCACGCTTTAGCCCATTTTGAAAATTCTTTCAAAACTAGGCTTAGTTTGGAAATTGAATTGATATTTTCACTTATTTAGGGAAATGCCCCACATATGTCAGATTAACAATCTGAATTGAACTGAGCCGAACCAATGTCGACTGGAAAAGATTAGAGAAGACAATGTGAACAGTAAATCCCACTTGTTCTGTAATCCAATTTGGACAACTCCTAGTCCTCCGACCAACCAGATTCAATATCTAAAGTACGTAAAATGCAATTATTTTAAATTTTATTAAACAATATCTCTATTTGTTAATAAAATCCATTCATTTATGGAATATCCTGTACGACACATTCACATTGGGGAGGCACTACTATACACACCCTCAGTAGGGGCAATAGCAAAATTAAATTGATTGATAGGAAAAACAACACAAAGTCTCGTAATAAAAATTACTTTGATTTATAATAAAATATTACAAAATCTCGTAACCAATGCTACTTTAATATATAACTAAACATCACAAAATTTCATAAGTAAAATTAACTTAGATCATAACTACAAATATTACAAACGTTTTATAACTAACTACTATAAAATGTCATAACTAAATTACCACAAATTTAATCACAACAAAATCTATAACTAAACACTAACATAATTTAAAACAAAAACCATACTGTTTACCCCATGTCCAACAATTAATAATAAGAAATTGTTGAACACGTAGCCATAACCTTTTAAAAAAATGTGAAGAAATGGTCACTCTTCCTCAAGATGGAACTTTCCAACTACCAATTACCAATTAGTTTCCATTTGATAATGTTGATATTTACAATATATATACAAAAATTAAAAATTATAAACTTGTTTAATATCTATTTTATTTCCAAAAAATAAAAATAATTTATAAAATTTACTAGTAAAGAAATTCAAGTTTACTAAAGAGAAAATTCATATGGACATTCAATCCAAAAGTCCATTTTATAAAATTGTATGATGATAGGTCGACGCGCTAAAATATTTTATCCGTAAGGACATGAGTCAAAAAGACCAAAATACCTAGGGTATAAATGCATGTTTTCCCAAACCCTTCTCTCCCCAAATTTTTTTTTTTTTTGGAACAATCTCTCTTTCTCTCTCTCTCTCTCTGTCACTAGCACATACACATCTCTCTAGAAAATTCTCTCCTATCTCCCTCTCTTCAGCATAAAAAGTATCCAAATTTGTGTTTTTTTTTAATTTTTGTTGGTGCTGTTTGGTTGCTAAGAAAACCTCATGTGGTAGATATAGATATGAGATTATTTATTTAATTTTGTAGTTGCTAATGATTGTTGTTATTGTTATTGTTGTTGATGAACAGATAAAACAAACAGATATGCTTTGAATTTTTTTTCCTTTTTTCTCTTTATTATATTATGTTGTTGTTGTTGTTGTTGTTGTTGTTGGATGTTGATGATTATGATGATAAGGAAACAGATTGCAAAAATAGGGAGATTGCAACTGATAGGAAGAGAGGTAGAGAGAAGAAAAGATTTGAACAAATATAAAATAAATAAAAAATTAAACAGATAGGTTGAGTTGTTGAACAGATTTTTCAGATGATCAAATAATAATAATAATAATAATAATAATAATTATTATTATTATTATTATTATTATTATTTGATCATCTGAAAAATCTGTTCAACAACTCAACCTATCTGTTTAATTTTTTATTTATTTTATATTTGTTCAAATCTTTTCTTCTCTCTACCTCTCTTCCTATCAGTTGCAATCTCCCTATTTTTGCAATCTGTTTCCTTATCATCATAATCATCAACATCCAACAACAACAACAACAACAACAACAACATAATATAATAAAGAGAAAAAAGGAAAAAAAATTCAAAGCATATCTGTTTGTTTTATCTGTTCATCAACAACAATAACAATAACAACAATCATTAGCAACTACAAAATTAAATAAATAATCTCATATCTATATCTACCACATGAGGTTTTCTTACCAACCAAACAGCACCAACAAAAATTAAAAAAAACACAAATTTGGATACTTTTTATGCTGAAGAGAGAGAGATAGAGAGAGAAATTTCTAGAGAGATGTGTATGTGCTAGTGAGAGAGAGAGAGAGAGAAAGATTGTTCAAAAAAAAAAATTGGAGAGAGAAGGGTTTGGGAAAACATGCATTTATACCCTAGGTATTTTGGTCTTTTTGACTCATGTCCTTACAGATAAAATATTTTAGCGCTTCAATCTATGATCATACAATTTTATAAAATGGACTTTTGGACTGAATGTCCATATGAATTTTCTCTTTTGCAAATTAGAATTTCTTTACTAGTAAATTTTATAAATTATTTTTATTTTTTGGAAATAAAATAGATATTAAACAAGTTTATAATTTTTAATTTTTGTATATATATTGTAAATATCAACATTATCAAATGGAAACTAATTGGTAATTGGTAGTTGGAAAGTTCCATCTTGAGGAAGAGTGACCATTTCTTCACATTTTTTTAAAAGGTTATGGCTACGTGTTCAACAATTTCTTACTATTAATTGTTGGACATGGGGTAAACAGTATGAGTTTGTGTTAATTGGCCGTCTATTCTCATACAATTGCAGGGACAAATCATTCATGTGTTGGAAAATTCTATGATAATAAAGTGTGTATCATACGTCATAGTTATGAATCATTATGGTTTTTGTTTTAAATTATGTTAGTGTTTAGTCATAGATTTTGTTGTTATTAAATTTGTGGTAATTTAGTTATGACATTTTATAGTAGTTAGTTATAAAACGTTTGTAATATTTGTAGTTATGATCTAAGTTAATTTTACTTATGAAATTTTGTGATGTTTAGTTATATATTAAAGTAGCATTGGTTACGAGATTTTGTAATATTTTATTATAAATCAAAGTAATTTTGATTAAGAGACTTTGTGTTGTTTTTCTTATCAATCAATTTAATTTTGCTATTGCCCCTACTGAGGGTGTGTATAGTAGTGCCTTCAAACACTAAGTTTAGGGCGGAAATCTGAGTTGACAAATCGTGTGGTAAATTCATCAGTACAAGCCATCCGAATCCGTTCAGGCGTTGCAGGATTATCAAGAGGAAACCAGTCGTTGTAACCTGCTTCTGCTCTTGCGGCTATAATGGCATCTTTGATGGCAAAGAAGACGGATGAAGCAAGAAAGAAGGGAGGCTCACCCACAGCTTTTGATGAATGGATGGCCGTTACATTTGGAGCATCCTGTCAGTTCGCCAAAAAAATATATAAGCAATAGAACTTCCAGTTTGACTTCAGAAATAGGCAAAAGCAAAGAACGAGGTCAATGAAATAATCCCAGATGTACTCAAACAAAACTCAACACCCTCCTCCCTTCCCAATAAGAAAAGAAAGAAAAACAAACGAAACCCAAAAACAAAAACAAAAAAAATCATTTATTTGCAAAAATCAAGCCCACAAGATGGATTGGGAGGCCCAAATCCTTTTGAAAAATCCAAAAGTACAGTCTGTCATTAGATATCTCGTTTGTACACATCTTCTCCTTGTTTGCCAAGCCTCTAGTGAGTCACAAATTGAGTTTGGAAAGGTGATGATGCCATTATCAATGATTGATATATCAATCTCAGATCTCTCAATTTCTCTCTCTAGAATTTTCGCTCTCTTAATATATTTAGCGAACTTTTCTCTCTCCACAATAAAAATTCACTTTACACCCAACATATTTTTGGTATTAGAGTCAAACCACAGTTGTTTCTACTCTTTATTCTAAACTGTCCATGGCCACAATTTCTAACACCACCACTTTCAAACTATACTCCAAATCTAATACCCATATTTGATGGAGAAATTTATGATTATTGGTGTATTCAAATGAAGACCCTCGTTATTTCTCAAGATCTATCGAAGATAGTGGAGGTTGGTTTCCTTGTTCAAGGCGATCACGAAACATTAGCATCATTGATACAAGGCAAATAAAAGAAGTACAACGAGAGGAGGGGGAGGGGGAGGGGGGAAAGGCTTCACTCAACGTATACCAAGGGTAAGCGAATCATTTTTCCTAGAATAGTAGGTGCAAAATATTCTAGAGATGCTTGGGAAATCTTGAAATAAGAATTTTAAGAATCTATAAAGGTCATCTCTATTAAACTTTAGTCTTTATGGCATGATTTTGATAATCTGACCATGAAAGAAAAAGAGACCATTCAATATTTTTCCATAAGAATTGCATAAATTATAAATCAAATAAGAAGTTATGGCTGTTCAAAAAAATAAAAAAATAAGAAGTTATGGAGGCACTATCCAAGAGAGAGAAATTGTTGAAAAAGTATAACCACATAACAGGGAACCAAAAATGCTTTGTCCAAATGGACAATTTCAATCTCGTCCCAAGTCAAATTGGGAAATGGAAAGCGACAACCTATGAAAGGCGAAGGGACTATTGCTGATGCAACATCTATTGCGTGGTTAAACAAGTATGATAGGCTGTGGAAGCCCAACACAAAGTCCAGTGGTCCTATAGAAGTGTCCATGGTAGTTTAGTAGTTAAGGATATTATGATAATTTTAGTTCTGCTGGACATGGGTTGTAGGGTTGCCCATGGATTTTATTTTGGGTCAAGTTATTAAATGGGTCATTTTATATGTGTTTTATTGTATCTAGAATAATCTTAGTAGTCAAAAGTCCAAATTTCCTATTTTGATACTGAAGTAGAATTAGAAAGTCATTAAAGTTCTCTATAATGATTGGAGTAAAATTGGAAATCATAGTTAGTCTAGAATATTAGTAGTTGCTAAATATTTCTGAGGTTTTGAGTCATAATTTTGATGACTACAAAGAATTCTTCATTTCACCCATATCCATCCGTGTGCACTAATGTAAAACACAAAAGAAACAATTTCTTTTCTATGGCACATCGGAAACACTTTTAGGGGACTACTGTATTTACCTTTAGAAGTGAAATGCTGAATTTGAAAGGAACGTCATTCAAGGAAGGAATTTTGTAACTTCCAGGCCCACACGTATACAAAGAGCCAGGTCGAATCCACCTATGGGCAGCATCACCCCATTTTAGCTCTTCCAAGGCTACCCATCCCATGCCTTGTATAAATGCTCCTTCAATCTGTGCCAAAATTACCATGTTAACAGAAGATACAACTTCCCTATTTAAACAATAACTCAACAGCACAGTTTTGGGGTCATCCAAAGTTTGCTTAATAAATCATTCTATGTCATTTGCACATCCAAAGAAAACAACCTATAACATGTCAACACAATTTCAGGTGCAAATTCCAAATTGTAATGATAAGCCATCATCGGAATGACTACTTTGTTTAATACAAAGATACTTTATAGATAATAATAATTAATACTAATTATCCGGTCATGTCAGGCAGAAGAACAAATATACATTCTTGAAGTTTACCAGACGAGATACTAAATCAGGTGGGATGGTCATTCACCCAAAATATCATGTCCTGATATAGCTTATTTATTGGATTTGAACATTGAGTAACACCAGCATACATTAAATAAATGTGAACTAAATAGATTGCAAATTTCTTTCATTTATCCAGAATGCAACAATAGCATGTTTGACCGAGCCAACCATGTGTTTGTTAGTTCCGTATTTGCTAGGAGGGTAGTTTTGTAATCACCTATATAAGTATAAATATAAGGGATTAAGGGAGGGAACCCTATTCTCTATTTTCTTATAACTTTCTTTTGGTACTTGAAATATGCAATTTGGTTTGTCGACAAAGATGCTGACATGGCCAAAGGCTGTTTGTTTTGATGATTGGAAATGGAAGGATGCAAGATGGACAGGTGTTTCAATGCAAGGATTGCATTTAGAGCCTCATGCTCTGAAGCACGGGTACTCCAAAAATAGTGCCGTACGAGTACCGGGTACTTATTGGGTGCGGGTACGCGTACCGGTACGGCGGTACGCGTACCGGGTACGCCAAAAGAGGGTCTGGTATGTTTGGCTCATTTGGATACGCCATGGGTACGGCGTGGGTACACCAGGATTTTTTTTTTTTTTTTTTCTTTTTTGCGCCCTTGCAAATCAGCAATTATTATTATTATTTTTTTAATTTTTTTTTTGTGCCCTTGTAGATCAGTAATTTTGATGTTTCTCTGCTGTCCTGTCTATCTGTATGAATTGTATAAGCATATCAGCAAATGATTTTGATGTTTTTAAAAAGCAATTTGAACCAAAAAAAATAACAAGGCCTATAAAGGATAGTTCTGTGTATGACTATGCATTATGCTTTTGCTTCAGATCCTCCTAGAATTTCTTTATAAAATCTTTCATCATAACAAACTTCTAAAGTTTATGCACAAAACATTAAAAATTGATATTGTGTTAGTTGATTAGTAGTGGTTGGAAATGATGCAATTTTATGTATTATGCAAATTGCAATTGACAACCTGCCCCAATTGAGAATTTTTTTTCCTTTACTGTTGGCAATTAACTTTAAATCTTTCTTTGGTCTCTTGTTATTTCTTTGGTCTCATCCTATAAAAATAGCAAATTGATGAGCAAAAACAAAGATTTTAAAAATAAATTATGATCACAAATTCATAGTGCATAACATGTCAAAGTGAGAAATTTCACAAATATTGTTTTTAACGCTTAATGATTTTAAATTATAGGAAAATGAAGTATTTTTTTTAGTTTTGATATTTAATTTTAATTTGTAAGTTGGATCTTTTAACCATAATTATATTTTATTTTTTTTTAAATATCACCGTACCTCAACCATACTCGTATCATACTTTTTTTGAGTTTTGCCGAATCGGCGTACCCGTACCGTACTCGTACCCGCACCCGTGCTTCCTTGAGAGCATGTGACCAGATAAAGCAAAGCATGTGAAGGAAGAACAGTTACAGACGGTTGAAGCAAGCGGGCAGTTATTCCAGGCAGTGGAATGAGAACATTTGCAGAGATCAAGGAGGACACGTGGCTGCAGCAGTTGTGGCCAAAGCAAAGGATCAAAAGTAGGGATTTCGAAGAAGAAAGCATCATTCAATCCCATTCACAACACTTGAGAAATTTAGGAGTAGAGTCGGTTAGTCATTAGGAGTAGTTTTCTTGCAACTTAGTGTAGCGGTTAGATCATAGTTTGTAACCTGTAACTTGGTTCTTGTTTCTGGTTCTTGTAATTCAGTGACAGGTTCAGTTTTATCTTTAATTCCAGTTCTAGTTTGTGTTTGTTTCCTTCCATCAATTGCGTCCAAAGAAGTCCTTGATTTTGTCAAGGCATAGGACTCAACCGCATTTCTTGATTATACATTTTAGTTTTGTGAAATACCTGTCAATCTCACCCAAACCATAATTTTACTAATGCGTTCTCACCTCTCTCTTCTTTCCCTCTTCTCTATTCCATTCTTATTTTATTTTTTTTATTGTTCTTCAAGTCAACTGTTAAAATATGATGCTAGCAAATATCAAATGCGTGCATCACATGCACGCCAGAGTCGAGCACAAATAGTATCAAGTTTGTTAATATTTCTCCACTCATTAAATTTGATTAGCAAAATTTTGATTGCGCATCCCAGTTTCTATGGGTATCTACGTCTTGATGCTTTCTTAATAATATTTGCTTACTTATCAAAAAAAATAAAATAAATAAACTCAGCATGAATTTTTACTATGGACCACATAAACAGTTCCACACTATGCCAGTAGGAATGATGCCGACAAACTACTATGAACCAAACTTTGCAAGTTTAGAGACTTGAACTAAACAACCAGTCTGACACCACAATCTTTCCATCATGGGGCAAAGAAAGTCCATGCAAAGCACAAAAACTACACCCTTGTTAAGTTGGTTCAGCATCCCAGAAAAAATTCACAAAATATAAAATTTCACCCCCAAAAAAGATGAAATAACTCTGATCTATAAATCAAAAATTCTTAATGGATAAATCAAGGCTGAAAGATAACAACAGTGGCATTAATTCCTTGACAAAACTCTTTTCATGGATACTTGGGAGTTTTCTTTGATATCCAGCCCAATTTTAATCAGTCATATATAACTAGATAGGTAGTAAGTTCATTCATAATTCTTGGAAAATTATAACAGAAAAAACCACCACTGACTTCCCAGTTGAATCTAATTGACAATATATTAGAAGACAGCAAATGACTAACAGTCGTATATTATGCCAGTATGAGAAAACAGGCCTTTTGTCAAAGTAATAGGAAAAGGTTCGTTGGCAAATTAGATTCTCTCATAAATAGCCCTTTGTCTGTTTGTATGATTAATTACATGATCTATTTTTTCTAATAATTTTTGTGTCCTTGGGAATTAAGGGTTTCTATTGGGACAAGCAGGAGTGTGCACTGAAAACACTTGGCAGTTCTCTGAACCCAAAAATAATAAGCATAATCAATATTCTTTATACTCCATAATCTTCCAACATGAAAGTTCGCAGATATAAGGGTGTGTTTGATTGGACAGACTGGATAAAAGGGGATTAGAATCCATCGGACTTGAATCCTGAGACTGTGAATCCCCCAGACTATTTGGTTGGATTGGATGTGTATCCCGTATTTGTTTTCTCATGGGATTAGATGTCTGGAAAGGACTATTTTTAGTAAATCTAATATTTGGTTGGACGGACTGGATAAGGATAAATGTTCAAAGACTATTTTACCCTTGTAATTTATAATTTATATTTTTTATTTAATATATAATTCTAAATTTGTAATCTATAATTTAATTTTTTTAACAACACTAAAAAAAATTAATTTATAAGGCCATAATTTTTTATTTTTTATTTTTAATTAAATTTAATTTATAATTTAATATTTTTATTTAATATATAATTTTAAATTAACAATACTAAAAAAATAATTTACAAATTTTCAAAAGACTATTTTACCCTTTTTCAATTGTTTACTAAGTAATAGCATGAGGGTAAAATGGACATTTCATACATTAGTCCCATGGGATACCAATCCCACGAAAATAATCCCCCCGCCCCAACCCCTCACCCTCGGATTGTTTAGTCTCTCATATGAGAGATATGGAGACTCCATGTCCGGCGGACTAAAAATCCAATCAAACGATGGACATCTCCCTCCAGAATAAGCAATCCGAACAGTGAATAATCCCCAATCCCCCCACCCCAAAAAAAAAAAATCAAACAAACTTTAACAAAACAATTATTTGGTGTTTTGGGGTTGGATGGGAAAAGATATTTACACACTTAACAGTGTTGGATTTCATCCCAAGCCTTGTCCCACCATTCACCTAATCCTAGGACAAACTTATGTGGGACATTGTCTTATCCCACATACATGTGATAACTTATCCAAACCAAATAATTTAGCTGCCCCCTTTTTGGCAACACAAAGATGAAATAAATGGTCCACGGGGAATATAGCCAATCTCGCCCGTTTAGTCCCACAAACCAATGCAGCCTTGGTCACCAACTATGTTACATGGACTCGTCAAAATAAATCAAGTATGTCGGACACTTGACGCTTAGATAAGGATATAGGGTATGTGTCCAATACTTCCCATCAGATATGCACTTAGCAAACTTACTAATCAGTTGTTTTGTTACATATTTGTATTTAACACTGTCATTGCATTTATTTTTTGTTGTATAATTGCTATATAGTTAGTTTTCAACATGTTACAAGAAACATTTTTGTATCCCACAAAATAGATTAAAGATATAAAAAATTAAATAATTAAAATCATAATTTTTAAAAAAAGACTACCCTTTTTTTGTTGAGTCCACATATACTTCAATTAGAGGTTTGGTGGGTTCAACCCCTAAGTACACACCTGGACCTGACACTCATACCTGAGTCTATATCTCATTCCCAATTGATTCTATATGTGTAGAAACGAAGAGGCATCCATGTATCACCATCTCATTGTGTGGTGATTCATGATGTATGGAACTTTCTTTTTCTACATCCAGTGTACAATGGATAATGTAGAGGTCAATCCTCGGGTTAGTTACTACTGCATAGTTTTCATTTTCAAATTAGAGAATTTTTTTCCTTTTTTTTTTCAATATTCCTTATAGATTTTATAGCGGAGCTTAACTTTGTTACTACTTTATACTGACCTTGTATACTCATGTATAGAGGTTGCACCCCTTTTGGTGCTTTTGATGATTTTTTTTCTTTACCTATAGAAAAAAGAACCTACAAAAAATCTTATATGAAAATTGTTCTAGTCCAACTTTTCCAGCATAAAGAAAGCATATGCCTCACTGCAATAATTACTACTTGAGCCTATTTTCATGTAATTTGTTGCCAGTAAAATGGTCTAGACTTCTCCATACATGCCATTGTTTGTAATCCAAAGCAAAATTTTATATATAACAAAATTGAGAAGTTGGATCCACCGCTTCTATTTTGCATGAAGAGGAAAACAGGCATTAAAAACAGTGCTTGCCATTTCTATCCCAAAAAAAATAATCCCCATCATGATGAATAAACTCTCAATTTGCAACACTAACATTTTCACAAAAAAAGAATAAAAGCAAGAGAAGGGGGAAACCTGTCCAACATCAATTGCTGGATTGATAGAATATCCAAGATCAAGGAAAATGTTTGCTGTCCTTGTGTGGAAATCCCCAGTCAATGTGTCAATTTCGACCTCTGCAAACGCAGCCCCATAGGTGAAGTACCTGAAGGGATTTCCTTTACCAGTTTTCCAGTCAAATCCGATATCAGGTGTAATGTAAAATCCATGAGCAGAGAGATCAATTCGCTCCATATAACATGCAGTTGCCAGCTGAAAATAATTGAAACACAAGCCAGTTTCTCAGTGATAAAAAATTAGCCTATCCCTGATCATTAACTGAACAACCTTAAAATGAACATGTGAACTAGTCCATTGAGAAAAGGAGCATGTTAAGAAATGTATTACATCATATTACAATAAGCACCCACTCTTTCAGAGTTATGTCTACCTATTTTCTTCCCAAAATAAGGCTATTTGGTTGTCAAATTACTTTCAACTTTTCCTCAAGTAATTATGGGGACCAAAATACTGGCTTGTCAACCTGATGTAGGATTTTGATCCTTGTGTTACCAAATTACTTTCATAAAAAAATTACTGGCTTGGTTAACAAGGATGCACTCCTTCCATTCCACCCACCATCCACCATCTACAGGATCTAGAGGAGAGTCTATCATGAGCTCTCGTAGGAGTTGAAGTCCAATCAGTCTGTACTGTTATAATGGGAGCCTACAAGTGACTATTGCAATAGCATATAGATGCAACAAATTTTAGTATCAAATAATCACACGAAAAAAGAGTTATCATGGCTGCCTGAATCATACGATTCGCGATACGATTCGTACGATTTTTGTATAGAACGATTCAAATCGCACAATGGAATCGTAAATTCAAAAGAATTTTCTGATTCCAAGTCAGAATCGTCGGAATCATTTTTTTTTTTTTTTTTTGACAAATTTTATTGATTAATCACAAAAAAAAAAAAAAGAAGAAGAAGAAGATAGAGAGAGAGAGAGACGAGGTTGAGGCATCCTCAATAGAATGGAAAGAAAGTGTTTAGCTTACCTATGAATGAGGTAGCGGCCATGTATATATAATACATTCATGATAAAATTTAGGAAACAATATAAACAAGGCACTAAATTCGTGATTTATACAATCACGGATTTTATAAAATCTACTATAAATAAAAATATTCTAATTCATATATTCAACAACCTCAACAAAAGAGAAACAAAGAAAACAAAAGAAAATACGTAGACATCACAAACACTTTATCTATAAAAAACTCTTACATGGAACACACCGACACTAAACCTCTAGCTAACAAAAACAACGGAACTCCCTTCAAATCATCGAAGCCTAAAAGGAAGCTAAGTAACAAACTTTATCCCGCTGCAAATTCACATCTCGAGATTATCTTCAAAAACACGTGCATTCCTCTCTAATCATAACACCCAAAAGGTTGCAAAGACGGCAGAAGACCATAACACCTCAGTCCTCTTCAATCCTCTAAAATCATGAAAATCAATTAGTAGCATTTGTGCACTGCCTCTTGGTGCCACCCACAAAACATCCTTCAAAAGAAACGACCTACACCGTAAGCTCAAAGCAACTGGATAATGCAAAAATAAATGATCTATAGATTCACTATCCTTACAACACATAATGCACCATTGAGGACTTAGACAACGATTAGGTCTCCTTTTTTGCAACGTACCATTTGTCAGAATGCCTCCATGAACCAAAGACCACATGAACACCTTCACCTTAAGAGGCACACAAGCTTTCCAAATTCTTTTACAAAAAGAAAAGTGATGGACATGAGGAATATCAATGATTTTGTTGAAAAAGAACTTGCAAGAAAAAATACCCGATGAATGAAGAGCTCAAACTCTCTTATCAACCACAAGAGGAGACAAAGAAAAGTGGTCAAGTCTTGACAACAAAGATGTCAACTGTGCAGTCTCTCTGTCATTGAGATTTCTAGAAAAATTAAAATTCCAAGAGATAGGAACTAAAAAAGAGCAAGCAATGGAAGCGACAGAACAATTATGAGACCGAACCACCTTATATATATGTGGAAAATCCGAAGCAAAGAAGGAAGAGCCCACCCAAACATCCTTCCAAAAATGAACAAGTTCCTCATTCCCCACCCTTACAAAAACAAAACGAGACCAAAGTGAATAAATTTGAGAAATTGACTTCCAAGGAGCCCAAGAATTGCCCCTCAAAACCACTTGTGAATCCATTCCATTATCTTGAGTCCCATACTTGCTTCTAATTACAGAATGCCAAAGTCAATCACTCTCAACTAGAAATCTCCATAACCATTTGCCAAGTAGAGCCATGTTCCTAACCAATGTTACCAATGGCCAAACCTCCTTTGTCCTTTGGGAATGAAACTATCTCCAAATTCACCAAGTAATCCTTCTTCCCCTTATCCTTACCTTCCCATTGAAAATCCCTCATCATCTTTTCTGATGGCCTCACTACCTCCACAAGAATTTTGAACAAGGATAAAAATAAAAAAAATTAAAAAATTAAAAAATAAAAAATGGAAACACCACTTAAAACTATCATAACCAAAGTATATCTTCCCCCACGCACGAGCAAAGCCTTACTCCACCCTTCCTACCTTTTGCCAATCTTTTACACAACTGTACTCCAAAAAGATTCACTTCTAGGATTACCCCCTAGTGAAAGTCGCAAGTATTTGAAAGGAAGTGCCTCAATCCTACATTCAAGAAGTGTAGCCTTCCTCTGAAGCTGATTATGTTGCATATTAATACCCACCACACTATTTTTTTCCAAATTAACCTTAAGCTGTGAGAGTACCCCAAAAAGTCTCAATACCGCAAAAAGATTACCTATATGACTCTCATGCCCCAAAGAAAAAAAAGATTATATCATGAGCACGTACTGCAAGTGAGTCACCCTAACTCTATCCTTCCCAACCCCTAACCCCTCAAAAAGACCTACCTTTCTAGCTCTATCAACCATCCTTCCAAACACATCAACCACCAAAATAAAAAAATTAAAAAAAGGAGATAATGGATCCCCCTAACGTAGTCTTCTCAAAGCCTTGAAACTTTCCCTTTGTTTACCATTGACTAAAATTGACATATTACACGTCGACAAACATCCCCTAATCCAAGATCTTCATCATTTACCATAACCTTTCCTATCCATTACAAAATCCAAAAACTAACAATCCACACGATCATATGCTTTATCAAAATCAACCTTGAAAATAAGACCCTCCTTCCTAAGACTTCTACATTTGTCCACCACCTCATTTGCCACCAAAGCCACATCTAGAATCTATCTACCCTTTACAAAAGCCCCTTGTGCCACAGACACCGTATCCCCCAAAAATGGCCTACAGCCTTTTCGATAAAACTATGATAACCCCATCATGTAGTATACTTATATTTGTTTAATTTTGAATGTTAATTATGTTGCGTATACCTCCTTATTGGTGTGTGAGACTAAATTGGTTTACTAAAAGAGTTTTAATTTGGTTTGGTTTAGGTATAATATATTTTTATATACTATATCTAATTTTATAGAGACCCAATTCAATTTGGATACAACTAGGGTTTTGATAACACAAAACCCAAGATTCACAACATATATATTATAACTAATATATATTGTTTGTTCTTCACAGACGTACGTCCGGCGGCTACAGAGCAACGTAAAATCAATTAATTTGGTGGTGCGCTTCGGGTATATTGCTTTGTTGAGCAGCAACAAATTGATTTTGTGCATCTTTGTTTGAGTGCTTTGGTGAAGCTGATTTGGGTTATTATTTTGGATCTTCTTCAACTCTGATTCTGAAGATTTTGGTTCTTCTATTTGGTGAGGTCTTTCCTCTTATTTATTTGTGATTATTTGGAATTCACCTAAGGGTGGTTTTGTGAGACCATTCGTGTCTCATTTGTAATTGTTTGGAAACTATTTGGTTGATAGTGGAATCGGATTTCGACCCCATGGACGTACCTCACATTGAGGGAACCACGTAAAAATTCTTGTGTTGCCTTTGATTTAATTTTTCCACATTAGTTTTTATTCTCATTGATTGATTTACTTGTGAGAAATCACATATTTTCCCTAACAACTGGTATCAGAGCTTACGGTTTATTTGGGTTTATTTATTTGTGTAAATCAATAGAGGGGAATGTGAGTCACATGTTTAGCTTCAATGGAAGTAACTGGTAATTTGGAAAACTAAAATGGAGGACCTATTATTTTGTAAAGATTTATATAGACCCATTGAGGGTGATTCTGGCAAACCCGAGGGTATGAAAGATGATGAATGGAAGAGGCTTAATCGAAAAACCGTTGGTGTTATCCGTCAATGGATTGATGACAGTGTGTTTCATCATGTTGCTACTGAAATTTCGGCACATGATTTATGGAAAAAATAGTCTTTATGACAGAAAATCAGCCACAAATAAAGCCTTTCTGTTTCGTAAGTTGGTTAATTTAAAATATAAAGATGGCAGCCCCGTTCCAGAACATTTGAATGAAATAAAAAGTATTATTAACCAACTTGCTTCTATGAAAATTATTTTTGATGATGAGTTACAAGCTTTGATACTACTTAGTTCTTTGCCCAAAAGTTGGGAGACTTTGGTTGTGACATTTAGTAATTCGGCACCCGATGGAGTTGTCACAATAGGCCAAGTCACTGGTAGCTTGTTGAATGAAGAAACTAGAAGAAAATCAACGGGTTCCTCACATTTGAAAGCATTTGTTGTGAGAGGTCGAAGCAAAACAAGGGGGAGAAGTAAGACTCCTCATGGTCATGATCAAAGTCGCGACAAATCAAAAGATGGTTCTTTTTCAAAGAAAGACAATGAGTGTTATTATTGTCATGAGAAAGGGCACATGAAGCGGGAATGCCGAAAGCTCAAGAATAAGGAGAAAAGGCGTGATAAAAGTGTGGATAAGAAGCAAGAAGACACAACAGCAGTTACTACCAATGGTGATCTCATGGTCGTTTGTGAAGATGATTGTATCAATTTTGTGGGCCAAGAGAGCAATTGGGTGATTGATTCCGGTGCTTTTTTTCATGTGACTTCTCGAGTTGATTTCTTCACTACCTCCACCAAACGAGATTATGGTTCTGTTCGAATGGGTAATGAAGGTTTGTCCAAGATTATTGGCATGGGTGATGTTTGCTTGGAAACAAATTTGGACTGCAAGTTGTTGCTTAAAGATGCGAGGCATGTTTCCGACATTCGCCTCATTTTGATTTCTACTGA